TTTATATCCCGCCTTGCCTGCCAACCAGTGTTCCCTCTAAGCTGAGTTAGAGTGAGGTAGCTCACAGTTTTTTAGCCTCCAGCTCACACATCTTTGTCTCAGCTCAGGAAGGATGGCTCCAGAGCAAACTAATTTATGCAGTAGCCAAATTGCTTGCTCACAACATTAATGCCAGTAGCTCACAAAGTAGAATTTTTGCTCACAAGACTTCACAGCTTAGAGGGAACATTGCTGCCAACCTGTCAAAATACAACTTATTGCATATAAAATTATGACATGGTAGTATACCACTCCTTCTTGGCTACATCGTGTCAATGCCCAAATCTCTCCAAAGTGCTGGAAAGGTTATGAAGAGATAGGGTCTCCACATTACACTGCTGGTGGGAATGCCCGTTGGTTGCTCAGTTCTGGGGGAAAGTTTTTCATCATATTTACCTAATAACTGGCTATCAGATTCTCAATAAACCTGAACTGGTTTTAATTGACTTTCGGGAAGCCCCGTTGATTCCTAAAACTCAGCAGGATCTCATCATGATATTACTTATAGCTACTAAATGGGTATTAGCCATGAGTTGGGAAAAAACCCTACCTTGCCTATGATTGATGACTGGTATCTTAAGGTTTGGGAAATACTATGGAGGGACAAAATAGCAGATTCCACATCTCGTACTGATCCATATTTAGGCTTTTCCAGTATGTTGGAAAAGTGGATGCCATTTTTATAACATGCTATGGAAAATTCTACCTCCCAAAACAGTCCTACTAATTATCTATATTACGAGGTCACGATGTCTCTGTAACTCTACAGATATGAGTCTCCTTAAATGTGTACATCTCTTGTTAAAGGTTATTCCCTCCTAATATTGACCAATCTATGTTAATCCTGTGAAAATGTAGACATAGAAATTGTTACTTATTACTTGCTTTCACTGCTGAATTGTATTTTATTGGCTTTTTAATGTGTAATGCTTATCATTAACAGTAAAATGTTAATTAAAAAAAGATCAGCATGCTGTATGAGTAGAACCATATTTACTCAAAAGGAAGATGCCCCTGAATGTAAGATAACCCCCTTAAAGATGTTATATACAAGAAAAATTATTGGCCACTACTGTAACTCTTAGGTGAATATAAGATGTTACCCACCCCCCTCAATTTTTTTGGTGTGCCTGTGAAAAAACCTAGTCTTCAATTTGAGTAAATGCAGTCCTTTATGTTTGAAACCCATCTGCCAGTGCTCTTAGTCCTTTGCACCCTGTCTGATAGCCAGGAGAGGGTTATGTTCCCTTCCCCTTTTCTGCTTACAGAAAGGAGAGAGGGGATGCTATTTCCCTGCTCAAAATTACTAAGGAGTGAAGCATTCTATCCAAGATCCGTGTGATTTCTTTCAACAGGGAAGAGGAACAACATTTGTTCCTGATACACTCTTAAACCAATTAAGTAAGAAAGCTGAATTCCATGTACAAAATCTCACATTATTCTCCCACAACTGTCCCAGTTCTGATTGTCTGGATGACAACGTGGAGAAGAAACAGAATAAAACAAGACAAAAAATAATTGGAGGGGGGGGTAGAGAAAGCGCAGAATGATTCTTTGTTCTTCCAACTGTTAAAATCTTGTCCTGACTTCTATCTGCCTCCGCAAGGCGAAAAGCAACAGGAAAGTCCTGGGCAGGGTGCCAGGGTGAGATTTCTCTTAGAGACCACCACTGGAGAAAAAGGCACATGTGGTCTTCAAATGTAGGAAGCAGGACTGTGGCAAAAACAAGGGGGAGATGGAATGTAATACCGAGCTATACTACTGGAGCTGAAAGTTAATATGCACTGGCTCCATTTCTCCTTGGCAGGGAACTCTTGGGGTGAGAAGATATATATTTCTCCAATATAGACACAAGGGACAGAACTGGCGCCTGTAGTGGGTAGCATATAGTCCTGAATATTGGACATATCTGCTTGGCACATATCCTTCTCTTTCAATCTGAAGCCTCACACATGCAAGGCCTGAGCATCCACCAAAGACAAAATTCATGATTCAGCCCCAGTAGGGTCTCAGCAGTGTAACCTTGAAAATGGTAGATTTTACATTCATGTTTTCCATATGTCAGTTTTGTGCAGGGAAACATGACATGGGAGTGAGCCCAAAGTCAATGCCCAGTGGACAGAGCTGGTGGTTACCAACGCTCCCTCTAAGCTGTGGAGTCCTGCGAGCAAAAATTCTACTTTGTGAGCTACTGGCATTAAAGTTGTGAGCTTTGGCTACTGCATAAATTAGTTTGCTCTGGAGCCGTCCTTCCTGAGCTAAGACAAAAATCTCTGTGCTGGAGGCTAAAAAATTGTGAGCTAGCTGACACGAACTCAGCTTAGAGGGAACACTGGTGGTTACAGACTCCATTACTTTGGACCCTTCTGGATTACTACTTTGTGTGTGGAGTTCATGCCGTACCCCCGGATATTCCATCCATTGCATTGTTAAGAATACGCATATGTGGAGTGCTGTCAAGTTGCAGCCGAATGAGGGTGACCCTGTAGGGTTTTCAAGGCAAGAGATGAATGGAGGAGGCTTGCCATTGCCTGCCTCTGTGAGGCAACCCTGGAGGTCTCCCGTCCAAGTACGGACCAGGGCTGACCCTGCTTAGTGTCCACAATCTGATGAGACTGGGCTAGTTGGGGCCATCCCCGTCAGGGCTGCTAAGAAGATGCCCGAGGACTTTTTAAAGCGCATGTGTATTTGGAGACGTGTTGCTCATAACAACTTCACACACCAAAGCAGCAAACCGGCTGCATCTCCTTGTCAAGCACATATGGTGCGTGTTTCCCTTGCGTGGACTCTGTCGGCTGTGTAAACCCAGCTCGTGTGTGGAATGAGGCAATGCCAGGGAAAGAAATGAACTACCTAATCCTCCTGATGCCTGTGATATATATATATATATATAAAATCAATTTACCCAATCGGTGAAATTCAGTGGTAACACATTAATTTCAAGTAGGGGTTTTGCCCTCTGTAAAGGCTGCTCTAACATTTGTTCTAATTTACATCCAAATTGTGGAAGAAGACCCAATCGGTGAAATTCAGTGGTAACACACATTAATTTCGAGTAGGGGTTTTGCCCTCTGCAAAGGCTGCTCTAACATTTGTTCTAATTTTTCATCCAAATTGTGGAAGAGTCTGATGAAAGCTGGTGACCTCTAGGTTCTCTGTTCCCCTCCACTCCCCAGGCCCTGCTTTAAACATGGGGTTCACTTATTGATGAGAAAATGTCAACAAACACCAGCAAACTAAAATGAAACAAATCCCCACCAGCAACTGTCAACATGCAGCTGGATAACCTGGACGGGAGATGTAGACTGCCACATTGTCGGTGACAGCTTATCTCCAAGCCACTTATGAGCTGAAATGTAAATGGGAGGGGGGGAGTTTGCCTGGAGGTGACTGGCCATCCCTCTGTAGGATGAGGGGAAGAGATAAGCTCTTGAGATGGTCAGACTATTCAGTGTTTCCTCTAAGCAGAGTTAGTGTGAGGTAGCTCACAGTTTTTTAGCCTCCAGCTCACAAATTTTTGTCTTAGCTCAGGAAGGGTAGCTCCAGAGCAAACTAATTTATGCAGTAGCCAAATCACTCACTCACAACTTTAATGCCAGTAGCTCACAAAGTAGAATTTTTGCTCACAAGACTCCACAGCTTAGAGGGAATGCTGTCATCCATCCAGATGCTCCATCAGCTGATGGTGTGTCCAAAATGACAAGAAGAAGATGGAAATGACAGCGCTGGCTGTCACAGTGGCCCAGAGGGAATCCTCTGGAACAGAACCAGGTAGGATATAGATGCCATCGTCCTGCCAAGGGCCAGCCTTGCACATGCCACCAACAGCGCTGGCTGTCACAGTGGCCCAGAGGAAATCCTCTGGAACAGAACCAGGTGGGATATGGATGCCATCGTGCTGCCAAGGGCCAACCTTGCACATGCCACCGAAAGCACTTGGAGTCCTTTTGTGAGAAACCGGAAGGATGGGCTCTCGGCCATAGAAACAATTGACTTTCAAGTTTCAGTTCCATTTCAGCCTTCCTACGGATGGGTGCCGGTGCTTGACTCCAGCTGAGAAGGGGCCTGATTCTCTCTATAGCTCAGGATCATGCCTGCACAGAAGACTCCGGTGCACCAGTGCGAAGATGGGAAGAGGAGGACCGGGAAAGAAGACTCGACAAAAGTTGTACACAGTTTTTACCCCACCTGGACTTTAACAGATGGCACCTGGGCTCTGGGCAAACAAATGCAGGGGTGAGGGGGGGAGGAAGGATAACCGTCTTGTTGAGGGGTAGTAGGTTGGCTCTCATCACCCTCCGCCCTGGGCAACCTGGAGTCCTGGACCCTTCCCGACTCCCCCGACGCTCGGCTGAGTCTTGGTCTCAGCTCTCCGCCCACAAACCACCCTGGCACATTCCCCGCCTCGAAGCTCTTTGGAGGAGTGGGAATTTCGGTATGAAATCAAATAACTAGGCGCACTGCCACTCAGGGTAGCTTCACTTACGGGAAGTTGTTTGTCCGCGTAATCTAACCCCCACCTCCCCATAACTAGTTCTCCTCAGTCCCTTAACTGCAGCCGTGCCGCCCGATCGCCACACCAGCCTCTCTTCTCGAAAGCCAGCTCGCACACTTACAGGGCTCCTTTTCTCCTAAGCAAATGTGCGCCGAGCTTTCCATTTCGCGTCTCCTTTGGAAATCCGACGGCTTGGATTGACCGAGGCGGGCCGACGGAGCGGGCTGTGAAGCGCTCTGGTTGGACTCGGGGCGTCCCGCAACGCCCAGAGGGGCCGAAGCCCCTGGCTGTGCTACCAGCTAAGTACTTCCCCGAGGAAGCCCGACACCCTTCCCCGACTGGACCGCCAAACAGCAGCGCGACCTCAGACCCCACCCCGCCCTCGCCACCCCACCCCAGCACCTCCCTGCCCCCCGCCGGCCAAGCAGCCAAAGCCCCGCAGCCAAAGCCCCGCAGCTCCGCTCACCTTGTTCTGGTCGCCCTCGGACCAGTCGGCGAAGTAGCTCAGCTCGTCGTTGTCCCCCAGCTCGTCGGCCAGCGCTTGCGCCGACACCAGGGCGAGGACGGCCAGAGCCACCACCAGCTTCATGGTCGCCTGCTTGCTCGTCGCCGTCGAGGAGCGTCCGGGCAGAGCGCACGAGGGGAGCCGGGGAGCGTCCGGCGGAGCGTCCCTTCCTCGCCTTCCGGCTGCCCCGAGAGCTCAGAGGCTGTGGCGAGACAGAAAGAGAAGGGTGAGGGCGGGCTGGGGAGTCGGCGGGTGGGCGCTGCTGTCCAGCTCAGCCGCGACCCAAGCGCCGACCTCTGCGTGCCCCCCCCCCCGGTCCTAAACCCCCCACTTTATATTCCTGGCGACGGGGAGGGCTCCGTGTGCGCCGGGGTCTAATTGCTCCCTTGTATTTATCGTGTGAGTCACATGGCAGGCTCCCCACACCACCTCCCGGCGAGGGATCGATACTCAGTCGCCACCCGTCGCCCTTCCTTCCCTGCGCCTGTCCTGCGGACTGGGCCCTCGAGCCTTGCCTGGGAGGTGTCACCCCCGGGGGGGTCCCCCCTAAGCGTGACTTTTCTGCGTGACTTACTTTCCCCACGCCCTGCGATCTCGGGCCGCCTGCGCAGGAAGGGCCAGCCAGGGGTTCCTCCCCTCCTCCCGGAGGTGGCATGATGGCCCCAGCTCCTCCGTCCCAGGGGTCTCGGGATGAATCACCAGAGCAGACCCAGTGACGCATCTGGAGTGGCTCTGGGAGAGTGTTTGGGACGGCAAGCCCGGTTTGGTTTGAAGAAGCATCCCAAGGTCTTCCTTCAAGGAAGGGAGAAGAAGGACTTTCTGCTAAGTTCCAAAGACTCCCCAGATCAGAGAATCTCGTTTTACTTTCTGGAATATCATTAATGAAAATAACAATTAATTTGCAAAGGGTAGCACAACCCCTATGACTTGGCAGCTCACAAACTGCTTATAATTATAACTCTATGCAACCCCCGAGAAATCGATTCCAGATTGCTTGCAAGTTTGGCAGCAGACTTCTGTGTCTGCATTGTACACCGTTTGGTGCATTCAGTGCTCAGTCACCATATGCCATAACTTTGGCCAAAGGTGTTAATTACCTAGACAGGAGGACTGATGGGGCCTCACTCAAACTTCCTTCCCAGTTCTCAGAGCTTGGGCCACAGGGAGAAGACAGGGGGGGTGCAAATCCTGCCCCATCTTCTGCTGCCCTACAGAGCAAGGGAAGGGAGAGCAGAGCAGGATGCTAGGCCAGAACTGGACATGAACAAAGGGATATTTGCTAGCCAGATGGTTGATCCATGGGGAAAAGGAGGCTAGCAAGAGAAAGCTTCTGAAAGCCTCTCTGAGAAAGAGGGTGTTAATTTGGTTTTTTGATGTTTATTTTTTGTCATTAATCAAAGTTGACTTATGGCAACCCGGTGGGGTCTCCAAGGCAAGAGACGTTCAGCAGTGGTTTGCCACTGCCTGCCTCAACATCGCAACCCTTGGTGGTCTCCCATCCAAATACTGATGAAGACCAGCCCTGCTGAGCTTCAGAGATCTAACGAGATCGGGCTAACCATCCAGTTCAAGGATTGAAATGGGTGATTAAAATTCATTTCTTCAAACTCAACCCAACTGCATTAAAGGATTTGGATGCAGCCTGATACCATATATGGATGACATTGCTTGATGGCATACCATATATGGATGATGTTATAGATGTATGGCGTAGAACAACACATCAATTTAAGGTCATTTCAGGTGGGGTCGCCTTACTAGTCTGAAGTATAAGAGCAATATTTAAGTCCAGTAGCACCCTAAAGATCAACAAAATTTCCAGGCTGTAAGCTGATGAAGGAGGCTTTGACACTTGAAAGCTTACACCCTGGAAATGTTATTGGTCCTTAAGGTGCTCCTGGAGTAATGCCTTTTCAAAATTCATCTGTGATATAAAGTTATGTCATGTGCTTTCAACTGTGGTGTGGGTTCCACTTCTTGAGCTGCCAGGTTGTGACTCGTGGTCAGCCAGGCTCTACCAGGGGCTGCTTCTTGACCCAGTAGATATCTGTTTAGAGATGTTTGGCAGGATGTGTTGACTTGTGGCATCCTCACATGTGGGATGTATCAGCTGCCACTTTCAAGGTCACTCTGCGGGTCCAGGGCATAATGTGCCACCTGCATAACTGGTTTTCCAGAATGAATGTGTGGATGTTTCTGGTGTACAGTGGGCATCAAATGCATAATTTGAAATCTGTAAAATAAAATGATTGTGTGTAAGCCGCTCAGAGAGCCTTCGGGGTTTGAGCAGGATATAAATTGAATGATAAATAAAATAAATGATAAATAGTAAGTATTGTTGGGTATTGTGAATGCCATATCATTAGGGCATTACCTAAAGTGGCACATTATGAGAGCCAATTTGGCAAATGAATGTTAATATTTAATGGTTGGACATGTTTCCCCAATGGGAGATAATGGTTAGCAGATAATATCCCAATACCTCTATCCTTGAATGAGAGCTTGGGGACAAGGTGTTACACATCCTAACTATGATGAGGCAACAACATGTCCTACGTCAACACACTGAAAGACAATGTGGTGGAGCAATCAGAGCATTAGACTAGAGCTGGGAGACCCAAGCTCACATCCCCAGTTGGCCTTGGAAACTTGCTGAGTGAAGTTGGGCCAGTTACTCTTTTACCACCTCACCTATCTTGCAGGGTTGTACTGAGCATTATAGAGTTCTGAGCACCTTGGAACAAGGCCAGAATGAAAATATTCTAGATAGCTTCTAGGTCTTCTGGGCATCCAGTTGACCACCATGTGGAACAGGATGCTTGATTGCATGGACCAGCAGTCTGATCCAGCATGGCTGTTGTTAGGAGAGGGGTAGGCATGTACATATGTGAAACAAAATACTAACTTGGGTATGATACAAGAAGGGGACAGAAGGACAGCTGACACTTGGCTGATGGTGAACTACCTGGAGGTGCAGGTAATCTGGTGTGGGGTAGTGGATCTGCTGCTTTGTAGGAGCATCAGGGTCCCAATCTGTGCTCTGCAAGTAAGACTATAGATAAAGCAGGCCTTTCAAGAACATCGTAAGACTCCTCCAAAGGGAAGCATCCCAGGTGGTTCTGCCCCTGGAAGTTGTTGCTCTTTGGGAAAACAGGAAGTGGGTAATCATGCCTTCAGAAATGGTGCGTTCCTTGTGCTCCTGGATGCCACTGTGCTCATCCTTCACATTCATGTTATGTGGACTGGCATTAGTTGAAATACCACACAAGCCTGGAGAGCAAGCACTGAAATAGCAGCCACAATTCCAGTGGTGAAACTACATATGCTCTCCAGAGTCTCAGGCCAAGGTCTTTCATGTCCTTTTAACTGGAGGTGTTGGGGACTGAGCCTGTGACCTTCTGCTCTGCCACTGAGCCACAGCCCCCCTAAAGGCAGGGCCCATCCTTACTTCTTCCGAGACCTCCCTTCAGGTGCCCCTGCCTTTTGAGATTAGGTAGGTGGTAACCTGGGAGAGTGCTGTCTTGGTTGTGGCACTAAAACTCTAGAACTCTCTCTCTAGGGAGACTAGTCTGTTCCCTTTAATTGCCATCTTTCACTAGTGGCTGAAGACTTCTTTGTTTCATTTTGCATTCCCTCCTATGTTTCATTTTGCATTCCTTCTTGTCCAATGTTTTAATTGTTTTTACATTTTGCATGTATTTTAGTTCTAGTTTTAATTGTTTTAATGACGTGATTTAGGTTGGTTTTAATGGCTTCAAAATGTGATTTTATTATGTATGGTTTAATTTGTTAGCCACCTCTGTGGCCCTTATGAGGGTGGAAAGGCAGGGTATAAACTCTGTAAAATAAAATAAACATTTGCAAGCTCTCTATTTCCATTATGAAAAAGATACAGACAAATATCTGCAAGTGGTGCATTGAGAACATAACAAACTGAATTCCTTTTGGACTGTCGACTTTTCGTTCAGCTTGCAAAACATGGTTACAACTTTAGTTCTGTGTACTTTATTTGTCTCTGAAACATTCATTTTATCTGTTTGGGATTTTTGCCTCTCTGATTGATGACAGTCAGAAAATAACCCCCAATTTGATTTAACCTATGAGTCAGACCTCCAAGGTACTCCTCCAAAAGGTTTCCTGGGCAGGTGGGAGCAGTGTGATAGGAGCTGAACTGGGCTACCTGCCTTGATGTGTAGATTGTTCCTGCTTCTCTTCCTTCTTTCTGCAGCCATAAAGGAGGCGATCTTGACAGTAATTTACACTTTATGGCTCAGGGTGTGATTAGCAGCAAGAGATGATTATACCAACAAAATAGTCCAATTAGGAGAAATAGAACTCCGAAGTGAAAAGAATACTCCAGGCTGAAAGAGTCTGCATTCTCTCTCTCTCTCTCTCTCTCTCTCTCTCTCTCTCTCTCTCTCTCTCTGCCGATAACACCAGCTCTGATCCTCAAATCCAATTTTACATGTTTTAGGGGTGCTTGCTGGATGTGAGAATGCGAGACTAGAATCATTCTCCATGCTAATTTTCTAAGTGCAGAGAGGTTTTGAATAAAACAAAACCTATCTTTCTGTCTGTCTATGGATCGTTCAATCATGCAATACCCCAGCTGCTCTTTGGCGTGGTACAGCCTGGAGTAGAATAGGAATAGGAAGTGTTGTTTTGCTAGAGAGCCTTTCATGTCATGTTCTTGCAGATAGTGTGTCTTTGCAGATACTTTTGCACATTTTAAACATGGAGAATAGCTCTCAATCAAGTCACGAACATTTCCCCGTAACCTCAGTCTCCTTCTATTTGTTTGCAACAAGGCATGACTAATTCAAAGACTATGGATCATTTGCTCACCCATCCCAACTACTACAGTCTTTCCATATATTCTGGTTTCTCTGGGGAAATGGCTATCAGTCCATTTGATGGTGCCACCAAGTGTTTTTGCTTTGGCGAAATCACTGATTGCTCATATTGACCTGCCATTCTTGCCCAGATAGTGTAACTTATTACTGTCTTCTGTTGTGGTGATGCTTGGATCGAGTTCTTATGACATCACTACAAAGAACACAAGAAGTCCATTCCTTTGTGTACAGATACGAGTATATGAAGTTGTCTTATGCTGAGTCAGACCATTAGTCCATTTGTTTCAGTAGTTTCTTCTCTGATGGGCGGCAGTTCT